AGGCTGCGCTGTGGAGCTACCTGCGCACGGGCGGCGGGAGGGGCGGCGGCGGCGGGGCGGGCGGCGGCGAGGGCGAGTCGGCGGCCGAGGGCGACCCGGAGGGCGAGGCAGGAGTCGGCGCGGACGAGTTTGAGTGCGAGCGGGGGTGCGGCTTCCGCGGCACGTTCCGGGCGGTCGAGACGCACGAGGAGGGGTGCACTGAGGCGCCAGCGGAGGAGGAGCCGCTCTGGCCGCACGCCGCCGCCCGGCGTTTGTGGCTCGATTACGTCGGCGACGCGCCCACCACGGCCCGCGTCGCCGTCGCCGTGTCGCTGCTGCGCCGCGCGCACTCCGACGAGTGGTCGGCGCCGGAGCCCGTCCCAATCTACCGAAGGGGCAGCGGCTACTCGAAGTGAGACCACGAACGGGTCGCACGCGCGCCGCCTTGGTGTTTGTATGAGTCTCGGCTGTCGGCTCTGGGGAGCGCACGCCGGGCGGTCGGTGTGTGGTCCCAATTCTTTTTTATATTACCTGTACCACGATATATTACAGAGTTGGTTTTGCCCGTACCACCTTCGTAACACACGGTTCTATACGTACACAAGCTAACAAGTCCGATCTCAGGGGTCAGGGCGCCCCACGCTCCATATGCGGATGCGCAATCAATGTACTCTTGTGGGTCCGAATGCACCGCGCGGAGTGGTGACCGACATGAACGTACTGGCGCTGTGCCACCACAAACACGTAGAGAGAAGTCATGTAGAGGCTTGCGCGGCAGCGCGGTTTCTCTTCTTCGCACCTCCGCCCTGCGCGGCGACGGCGCGCCCGTGCGCCTCCGCCTCCGCCTCGTCGTCGCTCGGCGGGGCAGCACCCGCCGCCGCCGCCGCCGCTGCCGCCGCCGCCCTCGGTGTGGCTGCTCCGCGCGCGTGCCGCTTTGTCGCCCTCTGCCCGCTCGGGGAAGAAGGCGGCCGGTCGGCGAGCAGCGAGAGTGCAACCGCACCGGCCATGACGTCTGCCGGGTCGAGGCCCTCCTCCTCCTCGCAGCCCGCCCCGGACGGCCCCGCTGCGCCCCCCGCCCCAAAGCCGTCCCGGCAGCGCGAGCTGTCCCGCCGCCCGCCCTCCAGGACACCGCCGAGCGCCCTTGCCCGCGGCGACGCCTGCTCCGGCGGCAACATGTTGTACCGCGCGCGCGCGAGCGCGGCCTACGAATGGCCATCAGCTAGTCACGAGTCGTTGATGGCTGACAATTCAGCCTGTCGTATGGAGAAGAGAGCCGCCTCCTCGGCGGTGCCAAAGACTCCGAGGTGGACGTCCTTGCCCCCCTCCCACACGTGCAGCTTGTACTTTCTGCTCGCGCGTCGGCTCACGTCCTTGTAGCCGCTGTTGCTGTTGCAGCTGGTGACCAGGGTGAGGCCCTCCCTTCCCGCTTGTCTGACCGCCTCGGCGCCGGCGGCGGAGGAGGGCGCGGGCGGCGGCGCGGGCGGCGGCGGCGCGGTGAGATCGGTGGTGTCCCTGCCCGCCCGCCTGCGGGCGTAGAAGAGCGCCGCCTGCTCGGGCGTCGCGAAGCGGCCGAGGTTGACGAGCTTGCCGCCATCCCTCACCTGCAGCGTGAACTTGTTGCTGCCGTGCTCCTTGGGGTTGTTGAAGACGCCCTTGTAGCCGCTCTTGTTGGCGCTCGTGGCGAGGGTGAGGCCCTCCTTCTCCGCCTGCCGAACCGCGGCCGCGCCAACCGCAGACGGAGCGGGGCGGGTCTGCTTCATCTTGGCCGCGTCAGCACGGCCGTACTCTGAGCGAGCATAGGCGATGGCCGCCTCCTCGGCGGTGTCGAATTGGCCGATAAAGATGCGCTTGCCGCCGTCCATCACCTTTGCCTCGAACTTCTTCGCGCCGCGGTTGTAATTCACGCACTTGTATCCAGTTGTGCTGTCCTTGCGGATAGCTGGGATCAGCACGAGCTCGTCTTTGGAGGGCGACTCGCGGTGAGCCATTTTGGAGCGACTCGGAGAGCGCAAGCGGCGGCGGCGGCGATGGAGCAGAGTGCGCGCTGAGACTGGTGGACGCGGGCCTTCTACCCTACCTCCCTGTATCGGTCGGGGTTATGGCGGGTTTACAGGCCTTGTCAGGTTCTCGCTCATCCACCCACCCTCCTCGACCTTCCCGACGATACCAGCGGGCCCGCCTCCACCTAGAAGACTGGTGCTGGGGGGTGAGTGTTCCCTGCTTCCGGCTTCTGCATATACCTGAGCTAGGGCCTGAGAGGCCTCGCTGGAGCCGAGGCATAGCGGCGTGATTTCGGACCTCCACCACCCCAGTCTTGTCCCGGGCTGAGTGGCATCAACACTAGCCCGCCCGCTGTTCCTAGGGTTGCGCGAGCTGTCCGAAGCTGTCACAGCTAGGGTTGCAAGACCTCAAAAGCCGGTCATCCACCACCCGAAAATGGCCGCCCTCCCCTCCAGAGCGCCGCCACAGCCGTCGTGCAAAACGGCCCAACCACCGACACGACCGCCACCGTCCGGCGGCAAGGCATACGCTCTGAGGCCGTAGAATGGGTACGGCTGCATCTAGCTCTTTGCGCGGGTCAAGTGTACCTGGCCTCCCCTTGATGGTCCTAGGCGGGCTTCTCCACAGGAGTCGATCTTGGAGAGGGGCAGTGCTCACTCTGCACTCTCTGGTCGGCCTGCTGTATCGACCCGTCGTGGCTTCACATCTACCTCGTGCCAGCGGCTCTCCTCGGCACCAGAGCGCTCCATCATACGCCAGAGCCTGTCCTGGGGCGGGTCCCCACGCCCTTACAATCATACGCATAAAAAAACCCGGACTCAATCGATTGTACTGCGGTGGTGTGAGTGAATGCACCATGAGCAAAAACCTGACTTGGCCTGTACGAGGTGTGAACGTGAACAGAGTAGCCAGATCGCTGTCGATCGTTACGGCACGCATGGGGGGCCTCCCGGACGTATGATGTGACGCCCGGCCGGCCCGGCCTTCTGCCTCTTGCGACCCGATGCTTCACTCATGCTCGGTGTGAAGCCAGGGCGGCATCGCGCCGCCAACCAAGAGAATCATCTTCAACTTCGCCAAGAGGTCGGCAGCCCGAGCGCCGTCGACCGCACCGACTACGGCACAGCCTCCGGCAGCGCCCGGGGCTTCGCCCAACACCACTCGCAACAGCTCTCGCGCGCCGCCGTCAGTGGCGATGCGCAAAACATCAACAACGCTGCTCGCAACATGCGTGTCGCGCACTCATTCATGACCGGTCTCAATGCCCCACCCCCCTGCGCGCGGGCCTTCTAAGCCCGCGGGTAGTCCCCCCCCATCCCCAGGGCCTCCAGGGCTCGCACCTCAACCTCTCACAGGCCAGCGCACAGCGCCATAGGAGGTATTTTCTTCTCAATAACAAGGCTGTGAATCACGCCCGCTGTGAAAACATTTGGCGGGGGATTTTTTCGCCAGTCAATAGAGCATGAAAATACCTTTCAGACGGTACCTTTCTGTCCTCCAGAGTCGAAGAACTCGACCGGTGGCTGGCCGCCAAAGTGGCTGGACGGCGCCGCGGCGCACACTGGTGAGCCGCGGAGCACACCAAGGGAGCTGTCCTCGGCGCAGCCGATCAGCTCCCGCGGCCTGGGTGATGGCAGTGGCACTCTCTGAGGCTCCCTGATTTTTTCTGGTATTGGTTGAGCACTCTCTCTGGTCACCATCGCCGGGCGAGCCTGGCTCTCGCTGCACAGCGGCGCGACCCGCGGTGAGGCTGCCGATCGTCGAACTGGGCTTAGCTCTCAGTCAAGATATTGTGCATATGGTCGGTCTCTACAATATCTTGACTGAGCACGACCGATGAATCGGCAGCACGGAGACAGGAAGGCTCGCTGTGTGAGTCGGCCACGCAGAGGGTCGGAACCTGGGTCGCAAGAGGCTAGGCCCGCGGGTAGTCTCACCCCATCCCCAGGGCCTCCAGGGCTCGCACCTCAACCTCTCACAGACCAGCGCTAGCAGTAGGCAGCTAGCCTCTGAGGAGGGCGTCCATAGACACCTCACAAGACCCCACACACGGTCTCGTCCGTGCCTCGCCGGCCGGCGAGATTGCTGGAGGTAGAGCAAGCCTGCTCTAGCCTCGCATGTCACTTCCTGTTGTCTGTTGTTTGTTGTGCCCTTGTTTGTTCTCTTGGCACCTTGGAGTGCTGGGGGGGGCGACAGGGAGGATGTGGCCTTGAGTTATGTGCACGCCAACTCAGGGTGTGTGGCAGCCACAGCTGGCTGTGTGTCTTGTGAGCCTGTTTGTGTCTGTGTGTCGCTCGTGCGTGTCGTCATCATCTGTCTAGCGTCCCCCATACCGCGTTGGTGTCCAGTCCGAGCCTGGCTGTTCTTCACCTTTCTACCTACCTAACCCTACCAGCGCATAGCGCCATACGACGTATTTTCTTGTCAATAACAAGGCTGTGAACAGAAAGACTGTGTTACGCCTTCCTATCAATCAATCAAAACATGACCCCGGACTGGGGTTTGCGTGCTTTGTTTTTTAATTTTTTAGGTATGTTGTTGGATTAGTCCCTAGGCTGGATGAATGAGGTGGGTGTTCCAAACGATGGCCGCTTCTGGTGAACCTTCTTTTCTACCAGGCTAGGATTGAGAGCAGCCTCGCTCTCAATCCTAGAAGTCGAAGGATTGTGAGCAGCACTCCTCGCAATCGTAGCATCTCTGTGCGATTGTGAGCACCCACGCTCGCAATCCTACATCTTCTAGGACTAAGAGCAGCTCCGCTCACAAGGTGACTGGTGACGCCTACGACTACTACCAGCGCGCTCACAATCCGAGCAAACTCTAGGGTTGCGAGCAGCTTGGCTCACATGAATCCTGGCAACATGCCTCCGATTGCGAGCAGAAGCGCTCGCAATCCTATAACTTTCGCCGATTGCGAGCGACACCGCCCATAGTCCTACGACTTCTAGGATTTGCGAGCGGGTCCCCTCGCAATCGGTGCGATCACTGTTTGGATTGTGATGAGACCCTCCCGGCGCGCTCACTCACAAGCGCTCGCGGCTGGAGCGATTGGGAGCGCCCTCCTTGTGCGCCTGCTAGCCAACTAGCTATACTAGCAGTCCTTGGATCTTTGGTACGATTGTGAGCGCAGCCGCTCATAGTCCTACAAGACGTTCCTGGTCGGTTGCGCAACCTTTTTGCCGACCTCCGAGCCCAGATAGCGCCGTCGCCGCCGCCGTCGTCGCCGTCCCCGCCGCCGCCGCCGCCGCCGCCGCCGCCGCCGTTGCCGCCGCCGCCGCCGCCGCTGCCGTCGTCCCCGCCATTGTCGCCGTCGTCGCCGCCGTCGTCGCCGCCACCACCATCGCCGTCGTCCATCTCATCGGCTCGGCCGCCCTGCGAGGTGGGAGACGAGCTAGGCCCCGCGCTCCCAGGCTGCGAGCCCGCCGCCCCACCCTTCCCAGAGGTCGGCCTGAGGCGACGGATGCCTAGCCCGCCCTCTGAGGCGGTGATCCTGACGATGGCAGCGCAGTGGTTGTCATGCTGCAGGAACAAATGGAGCACGTACTGCGGCTGACTCGACTCTGTCGGCCAGATGAACTGCGGCATGCAGCGCGCGCCCTCCCGAGTGATAGAGTCGACGACAATCGGCGTGTGCCAAAGAGGTCGGCCACGCCAAGCAGGAACCCGTCACACCCGTATGCGCCGCCTCGAACGCCAGCGAGGAAAGCCGCGAGATCAGTGTCGGCGGCTAGGGCCCGAGACCTGTGCACCGACAGCAGCAGCTGCTCCACTGTGTCGAGGGTCCGTGCGTCGACGGTATCGTGTGGCCGGCGGACGACTCGGCGCAGCACCTCGGGCATGGCCAGGTGGCGCGCCACGGCGAGGCGCAGCTTGCCACTCGCGAGCTTGGCGTCCCAGGAGGCGCCGAGGGTTAGCAGCCCGTGCGCAGCCAGCAGGGCCTCGGGCAGCAGTCTGCGCAGCTCCCAGGCGCACGCCGCGACCACACAGTCACCGGACGAGTCTAGGTCGACCGCCTCCCAGTGGCAGTCCTCGCACCCAATAGGCGGGAAGTCAGCACGCTGGGAAGTAGCGCGCGCGAGCATCGGGAAGCGGCCGGGGTCGATCCCGCCTGGCAGGCGCTCTGATGCAGGCGCGGTCGCAAAACGGACGCCGGCGGCGTCGAGCAGGGCCGTCGTGTGCATGAGGTCCCTGACGGCGTCCATGTTCCACAACCCGCCCGAGCTCGTCGCACCGCCCACGCCGCCCGCCACGCCGCCCTCGCCGCCTCCGCCGCCCTCCGCGGTGACGGCGCTGCCACCCGAGGTGTCGGCCGCGGTGTCGACGGGCATCTCGTCCTCGTCGTCGTCGCGCTTTCGGCGGCGACTCTCCCGCGCTGCGGGCGGCTGGCACGGCGCCCTCTCGCGTTGTGGGCAGGCCTCTGGCTGCGAGGGCGATGGCGAGGCAGCCGCGCCGCTCGGCTCCGACGGCGATGCGACCGCCTCCGAATCGGGCGGGGTCGCCTTCGAGACGGGCGAGGTCGCCTCCTCGGGCGGGGGCGCACGGGGCGCGCAGCTTGGCTCGCGGGAGGACGCAGTCTCCTCTCCCCGCGCCGAGCGCGACCTCGCCGGCTGAGATCGTGATCGTCGCCGAGGCTCGCCCCCGCGACCGCCCGTCACCGCGGCGCTGGGCGTCTGCCTTCGCCGCCGCCGCCGCCGCCGCCGCCGCCGTCGCTGCCGCCGCCGCCTTCGCCGCCGCCGCCTCTTTCCGCACCCTCGCCGCCCCTGCCTTGGCAGCCTTATCGGCGATCCTTTGGCTAGACCGCCCAATCTCTCGCGATGGCGCGTCCGACTTAGGCTGGCTCCGGCGCGCACTGCGTTGAGCGCCGCCGGCCCTGAAGTGGAAGAGCGAGCAGAGGGAGGAGGAGGCGTCGCTAGCGTGGTGGGCGCCGGCGGGTCGTCTCTCTTGGTCGAGCCGCGCCCGCTCGCGACGCTCCGCCTCGAGGCTCTCCTTAAGCCTCTGGCGCGCCACGCGCTGTTTCTCTTGCACTTCGCCGACGGCCGACGCCAGCCGCTTGGCTTCCTCCAGCTCCTCAAGCTAATGAGCAGGTCCGAATGACGCCTAATGAGTTTCATCAGGCGCCTCGACGTCAGACGGCAGTTTTGGCACTGATTAGATTCGTTAACTAAGCCCCGCTAATTAGTTCATCAGGCGCCTCCACGTCGGACGACAGTTTCGGCGATGAGATCATCGTCACCGTCATCGCCACCGGGTTTGAGCCCCCGGAGCGGGGAGGAGGAGGAGGAGGAGGAGGAGGAGGAGGAGGGCGGAGCGAGGCGGCGCCGCAGCAGCCAGTCGACTTGTTTCAGTTCCGGCCGCCGCGGCGGTGAGGGAGAGGGAGAGAGGGGCGGGGTGGGCGGGGTGGGCGGGTAAGGTGGCGCAGGAGAAGCTGACTTTGGGTTTTCTTGTTCGTTAGGGGGCACGAGAGCAGCGGGGACTACGACGCGTACCTCTCTCGGAGGCTCAACACGCGGGGGCCGGATGCTACATTCTTCTTCTTCTTCTTCTGAGTGGTGAATGATTCATCCATAGGCGCGACGCGTTGGGGCGGCCGGGGGGACATGTGATGAACTGTTATTACCAGTTATTAATGATTCCTCGCAGGCTCGACACGTACTGCTCCCGGTTTAACAGTCTTCTTCATCTGAGTTATGAATGAGTACTCGCAGGCTCGACACGTACGGCTCCCGGATCGCCGCGCCGCCTCCGCCTCCGCTGCCCGGGTCCGATGCGGGGATATGAAGCAGCATAGCAGCAAGGCGGCCTG